TATATATATATATATATATATATATATATATATGTGCATGTATATTATGTATATATATTATTTCTTAAAGGGTTGCTTGAGAGTATCAATAAAAAAAATAATGGCGTACTTTCGGTACACCGTTTCAAAGAATATGGTTTTTAGATTAAACAATGATCATTTATTGGTTTTTTTAAGGTAACACATCTCTTACTTCTGAATACTTCTCAATTGATCCCGATACTGGCAACATTTCTATGACACAAGCTATTGATAGGGAAAGAAACGCTACATTGGATCCATTGATAGTTAAGGTAAGCTACTCTACTCAATAATGTGTTTTGTATTTAGGGGTGGAGGTTATATGCCTATGCAGGCATAGGAGACAAAATAAACAATAACGAAATCGGTCGACATCACTGTCATTGCCGTTATAGAAATTCCTTTGTTCCCAACTCCATTCACCATCATCATAATAATGTTATTGGATAATTGTGGTGCAATTTTGGAATAATTTAATTAAGTTTAATGTGTAAAATTTCTTAATAATGTTTTATATTCTTTTGTACATCTTATGACTAGATATTGTTTGGTTCTCATAGTCTTATATCCTTGTTATCTTTAATTTATTACTGTATATGTTATTAACACTTGTAACATTGCCAGTGGAACGTGATTTCTGAGTTTTTCAGACAATAAAATTATCTTGAATCTTGAATCTTGAATCTTGGTGAAATAATTTGTGTTATAAATAGGTATATGTTAGTCAAGAGATGAATATTTAAACTATGTTAATAGTTTAATCAATTGAATCGAAAATTGAAGATGAATTATGGCAGGCATAACTAAAAATAGATACCTGTATACATAAGGCACATAATTAATGTGCCTTATGAGCTAATAATTTACCCCAAATCCATTACTTTATATTTATTTATTTTTTGGAAGGTGGTATTGGATTGGATGTCCAATCTATACATACCGGCACAATAATAATTTAGGTAGTGTAACAAATAGCCACAAAATACCCCAAAAAATTATTTAGACACCTAGAAAATGTTAACTCATTGAAACTCAACTTAAAAAAAATTGATAAATCTATTAATGAATTACTAATTAATTGCATTTTTGTAGTTAATTGAATTAAACATTTGAATGGATTTAAATAATTATTTGATTATATTCCTTCAATTATTACTCTATATTTTACTATTTAGAAACCCTAAGATTAAATTATTGAATGAAGTTTTTTAAATAATATTCATTATTTTCCTTTCTTTTTTTGCTGGTTTTTTTTTTTATCCTAATAATTAAATACACTATTTAACATTTTAATTGTATTTAGGCAACACAAGTTGACAACTACCAGAGGGTGGGGAGTGCAAGAATCGTATTCAACGTTATTGATGTCAACGACAACTGTCCAAAATTCCAATACTCTTCTTATACAGGATACGTGTACGAGCTGTGCAGTGTTGGCGAAACGGTTGCTGCAAACGGAACGTTTATGGGTAATCTGATAATTACTGCTTCTGACCTCGATGAGGTGAGATATAGAGATTCGTTTGCTAAAACTGTTAATTCATTGGATGAACTGTTTTTGTTATCAACCAATGTCTGTTTTGTGTATACTACTGATTGCAAATACACATTGCAAATATTGTGTTCTAAAATATTACAATTTACTCTACTCATGAACCCTACCAGGATTTTTTCTGGAACCCTGATCGATGCTGAGTACCATTTCTGGGCATAGAGGAAATCATTAAAATTTTCTCCATACACGAATTTCTGGCGCCGCCACTGTATACACAATCCAGTACTGAGATTGTTTTTATGATAGGGCCATCACAATCAACAACTTCGCATTATGCCTGCAAAAAATAATTTCCACAAATTTTAAAATCACCGATATAAAGTTTATATAAAGTAATCGATATATAGGTTTAATAAAGTTATATAGGATACATAATTACATGTTTTTAAAGTCCAAGAATTTAAGCACATAACCAAAGTTACAAAAGAACAAAAGCAAGCAAGTTTCGTAAAAAGTACTAGGTCTATATTATTGGAAAACCAATAAAATATAGCACACTGATGTTAATGTCGCCATTAGACTAAAACAATTAATTAATGTATGCGGCCAAAATTTCTCAACATTTAAAGGTAATGTTTTTAACTTAGATGTTAAGTAGTTTTTCATTTGTATATTTTAATGCTGTTTTAATGACTGTTATAGTTACCGTATATACTTCTATTCCATGTATATAAGGCATCCTGTTATTTGCACCAAGTTGTTTGTTATAGTTTTCAAATAACAACATGTAGCATAAACTTATCTTATTGACATATTGTTTTTTCAACAACAGATATTTATTGGAGACTTTACAACTGAGAGCGATGAGTTTGTGTTAGAAGTTTCTGATTCAGATACTTCCAGTGCTATCATCAAAGTCAAGAATAATGCGAGCTTAAATTGCTCAATGTATGAGGGCTGTAACAAGGTCTTTAAAATCTCAGTAAGTATAGAGTATACATTTACAATTTCTCTTTTGTGCATATATATTTGTGTTATACAGTTTACCCTCCAAATCAAGACCCCTCCAATTCCGATACTCCTCTACTTCAATTATTATTATTATTATTATTATTATTATTATTATTATTATTATTATTATTATTATTATTATTATTATTATCATCATCACCATTAATATGCTAATAAATGTTATAGGCCTATTACAGCTATATGATAATAACAATAATCAATAATCATATTATTATGCCGAAAATTAATTCAGTGATACTAGTTAAATACCAAAGAATTATTGCCAATAAGTTGCGACTTTCCCTGCCATTTCACCCTCAGATAACAATGACAGACGGTAGCTGCACAGACACGGCAGCCGTATCGATTATGTTAGTAGAAATCAACAATCATGACCCAGTAATGGAACCTACATACAACGTAAATATCCAGGAGAATACAACTTACGAATCAATTATCCAGGTAATATATTTTCGATTTGTCTGTATATTATGTATTTGTGTATATGTATGTGTGTATATGTATAGGAGTATATGTATATGTATATATATGTATGTGTATATGTATATATATATATTTATATATGTATATATATATATATGTATGTGTGTATATATATATATATATGTGTATGTATAGGAGTATATATATATATATATGTATATGTATGGGAGTACATGTATATATGTCTATATATATATATATATATATATATATATATATGTATATGTATATATATATATATATCTGCATATGTATATGTATATATGTGTATATATATATATATATATGTATATATATATATTATATATATTTATATATTTATTATTATTATTATCATCATCACCATTATCATTTATTGTTATTATTATTAGGCCTATTCATTATTATTTATTGTTGGTTATTATTACTCTATCTTATACTATTGTAGAGTTTATCTTTACCATTTTCTCAAGATGCACAATATTTATATAAATTATATGCCTTATACAATACTATATATATATATCATAGTTTAGGCTTCCTGCTTCCATCATTATAACTATTATATATTTGCCTTTCAATAATTTTATAGGCCCGAATTTATTAAATTTATAATATTGCTTAGCATAACTTTTTATCAATTTTTTCAGAGTCTCTTCCGCTTCTTCTTAGTTTTAGTTATGCCTTATGTTTAACTAATCCATTAACCATGGATGAATTAATCAATACTCTATAAAGAACTATAGATGCAAGTGTATCTTGACGTTCTACTCAGTCATTAACCATCAAGTTATATAATGTAGTAAAGAAAACATTAAATATGAGCCAGAGTTGGAGGAAATTAAAAATATAGCCAATAAAAATAAAACACATTTCGGACCTAAAAACAAGCAAAAGTAGCATCCTTCGCCCTTATACGTGAATAGAGACAACGCTAGCTTCACTCACGCAGAACAGAGATCAACATGATAGGTACATATTGTCACGAAGCCTTCCTCTCGGCTCCGTCCGGGATCACACCATAACATCAATAATAGTACTAGACAACCAATTACTGTCTCACAAACACATGTCTTTATTCGCCATGTTTCTTCCTTCTTCTCCTACCTCACCCTCACAGAGGGCGCTATTGCAGTTCCCTTCACAATATCATGTATCACATTTTATAATAAGATACAGTATTACACTTTAAAACAAAAACATGGCTTTCATTCATACATATTCTCTATAGATTATTGCAGCAGACGAGGACTCGGGTCCAGATGGGCAGATTGATTATAGCATCGTGTCTGCTTATTCAAGTAGCTTCGATATCGACGCCACGACTGGAGAAATCCACCTTAAAGATACTCTAGATGCTGAGAAATCTACAGAGTACCGTCTAGTGGTACAGGCTTGTGACAAATCTGAGAAATTTCAAAGGTAAATTGCTCCGTTCCGAAAACGAATCAATTGAAAAATGCCAATTCGTAGCTTGAACCATGGATGAATAAAATAGACTTGAACTGAGCATGTCCGTATCAAGGTCCATCGACATGAACAAACATACACACAACATACTTACTGTATTTATTAGTTTTAACGTTTTATCTTTTGATATTTTAAAGTTACATTTTATTTTTTTTTTATCTTTTTGTGTGCAATGTGTATTATTTTTACTGTTTTAAATAGTTGTTCCCTGCTTTTGAATGCAATTTGTAGATCTTTCTTATTTTTTGGATTTTAAAAGTTAATTAATACCTTTGCTGTAAATGATTTAAGTATTTTTGTATAACAATATAAATCCGCTAATTGGTTTGTGTATCACAGAAGGTTGATGATAAAAGTTATATTCTATAGGTTCTTGAAATTAGAGACAGATATTGAACTAAATGCGGAACTTTATCTATACTAGTAACCTCAGTCAGTTTCTACTGAATATAAAACAGGTACACATTGACATAACGACTGATGCTAACTGCAGCCTCAGTCCTCTACTTACAAAGGCTAGAGTGAATATCAATTTTGTTTGTTTTATTCTATATACAAATCACATGAAATATATTTAACCAATAGAATTGTTATTATATATTCAGACGGTGTACTTTTGCCGACGTTGAGGTGTTTGTTGAAGACGTAAACGAGTTCCCGCCGTTTTTTCTAAACGATGAATTTGAGATATCTGTGTATGAAAATGAGCATTGTACAAACGTGTTTACGGCTATGGTATATATCTCCATTTTCTATCACGTTGTCGATCAGAGATGATAAATTGGGAGACAGACTGTTCTCATATCAAGAAGTCGATTGATTTTCCCCCAATGGATTTTTTTGTTGTAAATTTCTTATTGAGATGTATTTGTAATTGATCAAAATAATATTATGTATTTGTAGGATGACTTTTAAGCAAAAAAAATACCGTAATCATTCGGCAATATCAAATGGGATAGAAAATAGTGAAACAATAAGGAAATAAAACAATAATGAAACAAGATCTTTTGAATTTACACGAATCTGGGAGTTTAGGTAGAAATATTCAATGTTTATTCTGATGTTTTGGCAGAGAACATTCTATAAAGCAATATTCATGTTAATAAAATGTTTAAAAGAATGAAAAATACAAAACGGTGAACGATTTTCTAGATATAAAATAAAAAGTATGTACATTATCCATAATTTTCACGCACGTAATGCTGATAATAGATAATATAATTTTCAAAACAACAATTTGTTGCTTTCCGTTTCAGGGTAACGATAATGATGTTACTGCGAATCTTTCGTATGCGTTAATGGGGCCAGGAAGTGATGATTTCTCAATTAACAGAACAACGTAAGTATTAGCAAACTGAAAATCGGCAAGTGCTGGTACTCTACATACATAAACGATGTATTAATTGTAGTAAAAAATAAAATACAGGATTCAAAAGTGACTTTCATTTTATTACTAATAATAAAAATAAAATATAATAAAATAAAAAAAATTTAAAAACATTTAAAAAATTGATCTGTTTTTCAACTAACACAACAACGTAAGTATTAGCAAACGGAAAATCGGCAAGTGCAGTTAAATTTATTTTTGCTGGTACATACAACAATAAAAAAAAATAAAATAACATAAAATAAAATAAAACAAAACAAACAAAACAAGACAACACAAAACAAAACTACACAAAACAAAATGAAATAAAATAAAATAACATGAGATGAGATGAAGTAAAATAAAATGAAATAAAATAAGATAAAATGAAATAAGATAAAATAACATAAGATAAAATGAAATTAAATAAAATAAGATAAAATTAAAACAAAATATATAAAAAAGAAATTGCTCTGTTGTACTATGGAGCACTTTGCTGATATATTTCAATAAAATTTCATATAGGCCTATGGGTCTGTGTGTATATATAAAATATAAATTGTAAATGCTAAAGAAAAGGAATCTATGAGTGCGAAAAAATACCTTAACCGGGATTCGATCCTGGGATATTCTTCTGTCTATGCTGACGTCTTACCTTGGTCCATTGAAGCTTTCGCTGAAAGTTGGATTCTGATTTGCGCCAGTTGATTACACACTTTACGTATGCCGATACACAACTATTATTATATGCTCATAGGCCTATTCAAAGAAGAGGATGTGTTGTTCATCCCCGAACATTCTGCTGTCTATGCAGATTTTGTCGAGATATTTACTGATTCTTGTGCTGAAGACACCGGTTCGAACATGGTCAGGGCGGGTATTTTGATAGGTTCAGACTAATTTCTAATTTAACTAACTGTAACCAGTGATTAATTTTTATCTTGCTTTGCAGAGGAGATGTGCAACTGCTTCACACGCTGGATAGAGAAGTCATACCAATATATAATTTAATGATTTACGTAAACGACGGTGAAAATGTAAGTGTAGCGATATATTGATAGGCCCTAAATGTTTGCACTTTTACACGGTGTACATGCCTAAGCTAAATCACATTATTGTAATTCTTTAGTTACCAGTATCCAGGAGTTGTGAGTAGTAGTGGACAGATAAGCGATGCCGTCGCTATCGTGTCTAAATATAATAAATGAATGAATGAATGAATGAATGAACTATCTCTTGTCACACGCTTCAGTATCATTAACAGTAGTTTTAAAGCAGCAGTTCTCAAAATTTTCGCCCGACGACTCAAAAAAATGTCCACGGAATTTGTCACGATTATCCAACAGAACATTAATTAATAAACAGATACTCAAAACGGGTTATTAACTGGTAAATAAAATTGAAATGGGCGTATTCGACTGGTTCATTTCGTTTCGTCGGCCAACCAGATTCTATGGGGAACGCAAGGCCATGACGCGCGTGCAACGGATCGTTTTTAATGGCGATCCGTTCAGACTGCCACCGACATTAGGCAGACGATGTCGCGTCCGAGTCGTTTAGCGCTCACAGAGAATTAAGTGAGTGCCCGGCTCTAGTTGAGAACCGCTGTTTTAAAGTAATGCTTAAGTCTAATTTACCCCAAACACGATTACAACACGACAACGACACAATACAGATGCTCGCAGTGTTGAAGAATACAAACTACGCGATATGTCGTTGTCGTGTCGTGCCTGTGTAAATGTGGCTTTGTTGGAAAAGAAGTCATTTTCGTAGATGTGAATAATTGATTCTGTCCTGTCTTGTTGCTAAAAGACTGCTGTATGTAATCTGAGTGTTGTTGTGGAGGATGCTAATGATAACTACCCAGATGTAAATTCCTTGTTTTACTTTGAAATTCAAGAAAATTCTCCGGCAGGGTCAACACTTATATCGGTAAGTTGACTTAAAAATAGTAAATGTAAAATGATATGTTAATCAACATATATACAAACGAGATATAAACTAAATACTGAAAATGTACAGACACAGCAAGCCAGAAATTGGTTAGTCTCTCTTAAAACCGGTGTAATTGTCCATTCTTGTTTGTCAATTTTTGTATTTGTCATTTATATTTTAATAGTTCAATTACCCTTTGTTGTCCTATATTTTTAACGGACTTTTAGTTTAGTTAACTATCATCTGATAATGATAATAATAGTTGTTTTTGTTATTAATTTGTGTCGGGACTTCAATTTTCGTAAAGTAATTGTAGTTAAATTTTAATGTATAATAATTTTACATTTGCATTTTGTTTTTACAATTTTATAATATTTAATATCTGTATTATGTTATTACTTGTCGCACATAGATATAGAGCTATATCATTTTAACGTCAACTGTTTTTTGTCTTCATTAAGTATCTTTTCTGGATATTCACATAGATTAATGCGAGGGACGCAGATGTTGAGCAGAACAAGGCATTGACTTACCATATCTATGATTCGTCGCTCGCTGATCTGTTTTCGCTCGATCCTGATTCGGTATATTTTATTTTATTTTTTATTTAGAATGATGTTTTATTCTTTTGTAGATTAAGTGTTTTAAATTTTAAAGTTTAGGGACTTTTTTGTAAAATATTATATAAGATCTCTTTCTTTGTTTATCTATTATATTAATTGAAATGATTTCTATTCTGTTATTATTAATATATTTTGTAACGTCTTTGTTGTATATAGAACGTTGTTGCTTTTGTACTTTAAGTGAAATAGATTTTATAACATATAACAGGACAATTTTAGTAACACATGTTTATGTACATTTGCAAATTGAGCCTCCGTCCCGTTGTAGAGTCATAGACTGTTATAATTATACACGCAGGGCGAGACGGGCGATTCCATTATTTTCTGTTTATGCGGTAAATTTCCGTGACCTTGCACATTGCTCTTTGATTTTTTTTCGTCTCAAGTTTACCCACCTCTTCCTTAGACCCACCAGATTGAACCCAACACCATTTTATGATGATGCATTCATTAGGTTTTGTGTCTACTGGCCCGGGACCAGGCCGGTAGTAGACACTTTGTAGAGTAAATCCATTGGAGGATTGATGGGATGGGTCATGAACTAAAGGTAAAAATGAAAAACATGTCTACGAAATATTATGCCATGCTAGATAAGACCTGTCCTAGTTTCAGTTAGCAATTAAATTGACAACTCAGAAAGCTGCTAGATCAGACCTGTCCGAAGTTTACTAAAAAGTCACAACAATCTGGTATATACTTGTACAGTTATTCTAGTGAATTGCCAACATAGAATGCATGAGTACATTAAAAGTAGGCAAAAAAAAAAAAAAAAAAAAATAAAAAAAAAAAAGAAACATGTCAAGCAGTAGACACGCTATTTTTAAAAATCCTGCTAACAGACTAACAGACAGATATTTGAGCATCGGTAAATATATACGTCTGTTGGCGTAGGAGGATAAGTATGAATATTGTACAAAAGCTGTTTGCGAATTTATTCGCGCAAATCGAAAGCGTCGGTTCAATTCATCTGATTAAAGTTGCACATTTTTTTTCGCTTCACAAAAAGTAGGACAGTTCGTGATTTCGATAAAGCAAAAAACTCCCATAGAATGTGAATGTGCCTGCACATGAACCGACGCTTTTGATGGGCGCGAATATATTCTCCTATAGTGGAAAACAGCCTTAAAGTTGTACAAAAGCTACAAATTGACGTTATTTTTTTTTTCTATTCCAGGGTATATTTACAACCCGCCATGAAATGGACAGAGAGAACCAGAGTAGCTATAACGTCATCGTAATTGTCAGGGACAACTCTACGGAGCTGTATCTCTACAATCTAACAACGGTAAAAATCAAATATCCAGAGTTATCTCATAGTAACAGTTATTGGTGTCTTTATTATGTGATAACCAAATACTCAATCAAGCTTCTGTAACTTTAAACATTAAATGCAGTTGATACATTTTCCCTGTATTTTAAACAATTTGATGAGCACAATAGGTTTGAGAACCTCTCGCAATAGATACTTTAGAACTGGCCATATAAATTTGCTAGGTCTATGCGTACCATGGGCAGGTAAATAATAATAAATGTTTTTATTGGTGGCCTATACATCAATTTGCGAAATTTTACTTTTTAATTTAATTTTGATGAACTTTATGATCCACTATCAGATGCTGAGCCGTAGACTTGATTTTCGATGTGGGAGGGTGCGTATTGCGAGTGAAGCGGACCTTGAGCTTTGTCTACACTATTAAATTTATTATAAGAAAAAAAGCGTCACATAAAATTTGATGGAACATAGAGTTGAACACGTTCAACTTTTTTTGATACAATTTGATGATATGTGGTATGACGTCATCGTACCCATATATGGGCACATCACATTTTTGTAACATAAAATTTGATAGTGTAGACAAAGCTTCAGGCTTGGTACTTAGTAGCCTCCCAGGGTCCAGGGGCAGAGCCCTGGTTTTGTTTAGGGGTCTCATATAAAACGGATTTCTGAAACCCATAATTCGTAAATATTCTATTTAAATTTTCATTCATTTAAGTGTAGTTAGTTTAGGTTTGTGTGTTACGTCTGTGGGTCTACAAATAACATTGTTCATATTGATTATCTGTAATCACTGAGCAGATAACTTCCAACAAATTTTGTACCACAGTTATTAAGAATCAACGGTTAGAAGAGCTGACAAATGAAATGCAATGCACATTATAGCATTTTGCGATAACTAGGAACGATTTTAGTAAAACCAAGGTTTTAACACTCTTTGAAATTTGGGGTCCAAGGGACGAGCCATTAAAGGGGGGAGGGGGGTTGGTGGTGAATTCTCCGTTAGTTCCGACAAAGTACTGTAGCATTATTTTTGAGGGCCCTTAAAATGAATTTTTGAAACCCATAATTCGTGAATAATCTATTTAAATTTTCATTCATGTGGGTGTTTGAGGGACTTGAAGAAGTAATGTTTTATGTCCTTTGCATCAGTAGACCTACAGATAATATTGTTCATGGATTAATCTGCAGTCATAGGAGCTGATACATTTAATTTCGTACCGTAGGGCCTACCACAGTTATTAAACATCGAATATTATAGCATTTTGCGATAATTAGGAACGATTTTAGTGAAATAATATACGGTAGGTAGTGGACTTTTTGAAATTTGGGGGTTGTGCCTCCGCACCTCCTGCATCCCTTGCCTACTGGCCTATATTATCCCATTTCTGCATGCCATCATCTTCAATGCTTATCTCAGATGCTCCCATACATTATACACAATAGTCTCTTAAACATACTTTCTAATACAGGTTGAAGTCAACATCACAGATGTGAACGACAACCCCCCAATCATCGATAGTCCTTTATGCGGATCAGATTTTCACGTGATGGAAGGGTTAACAGGAGAATTGTTAGGACAAATAGACGCGCATGACAACGATGAACCAGGTTCTATCAATGCTGAAATTTTATATGAACTTTCAGAAATCGGCGGTATGTATGGGAGTAGTGCGATCAGTTACACAAACCTTTTTTTTAAATAACTTTACCAGATGCTTCGCTATACAAAAAGCTTAGTTTAGAATTTAATTTAATTTAATAATATGTTGAAATTAATAATCGGTGTAAAAATAAGTAGGCCTATGTTGATAAAATCAGCAATAACTATAATATTGTAAATAGATTATTATCAAATGTTTCTGTTGGCAGACGCCCTAACTTACTTTCGGATTAACAACTTAACCGGAGAACTTTCCACGACTGAAATTCCAATAGATCGAGAAAAACATAATGAATTTTTGCTAAATGTCACGGTAGGTATTTCATATGCACTAAATAAAGTTTTTGTATGCTTTAAATATACCGATTTTCTAAAAACATGGCTTACTCAAATGTCGATAATGATATAGTAACATAATTATTAATATCCATTACATCATGTACATAATTATAAATTTTATTTAGGCCTATAATATATACGATATAGTGAATAATTATAAATATTACAGTATGTAAGAAATAGTGACGTAATTATAAATATCATTTATAATATTAGAGAGTGTCTGGTAAAACATGTGAAGTTGAATGGGTTTGTTCATATTATTTATATTTATTTGTTTTCAATTAGCAAATATACTTAATTCACTGTAATACTAGTGCGGGTAAATAAAAACACAACTAGGTATTGTTTAATATCAATGATACAAAAGGATGTAACATAAAATTCATACAACGTTGAAAATCCACTGTCACTAAAACGATACAGATCCCTATTCCAAGGCCAAGATGGAGAGGAGTTGAATATCCTTAAGATTGTGTATATGTTTATCTTGTGAAGGGGGATGTTAGAAAACAGAAAAGGGATTAAGTTCGCCGTTTGACATATACTTGGCATATGCACCTTAAGTTAAATAAATAAAAACATAAACAAAAGTTATATTGTATCAAATATTATAATATATATATATATGATATATCTGTCTCTTATACACATCTAGATGTGTATAAGAGACAGCTTTTCCGAAAAACTTCAAACTTTCAATGGAATAACTGTCTCTTATACACATCTAGATGTGTATAAGAGACAGGAGTTGAGCACTTAGTGCAAATTTTT